GGAGACAAAGGAGAAAGTTGGTGCCAGGGTTTGCACCAAGAGAAACTACTGGAGAGAGTCCAGGGGAGGCTGTGGAGCTGCTGAGGGGCTGGAGCATCTCTGTGCCAGGCCAGGCTGAGAGCCCTGGGGCTGTGCAGCTGGAGGAGAGAAGCCTCAGAGGGGATCTGAGCAGTGCTGAGCAAGAGCTAAAGGGCCCCCGGGGGGCAAGAGGCTGGGGCCAGACTCTGCTCAGTGGTGCCCAGCCACAGGCCAAGGGGCAACGGGCACCAACTGGAACCCAGGAGGTGCCACCTGAGCAGGAGGAGAAACTTCTTGGGTGGGAGGGTGCAGAGCCTGGAGCAGCTGCCCAGAGAGGCTGTGGAGTCTCCTGCTCTGGAGAGATCCCAAACCCTCCTGGCTGTGCCCCTGGGTGACCTGCTGGAGCAGAGGGGTGGGAGCAGGTGATCTAGGTGTGTAGGTGGGGATGAGGGTCCGAGTGGACCTCAGTTATACCTGGGTGAGGGGTGGGTGTCCCTGGGGGTGTCCCTTGCTGCATGGCAGAGGAGCAGGAGGTGTGGGAGATCCCTTCTCACCTGAGTGTAGACCAGGGGGATGCTGATCCAGTCGTAGCCGTAGAGTCGCCCGCACTGGCTGCGCAAGGTGTTGAGCTCCTGTGGTGGGGACAAGGAGGGACCTCTCAGGGGGACCCTGCACCTCCTCCCTGCCACACCCAGCCTCTCCAGCCCCTTCCCTCCTGCTCACACCTCCTCTGGAAGCAGGGGGGGAGCTCAGCCAGGGCTCCTTTGGTGCCCAGCAGACCACCAGCAGGGTCTCATGGAGGAGACCTTGGTCCTCAGAGGTTGCCCTGGAGGAGCTCCTTGCTGCTGGGTGTCTCCACCTGAGCCCATGATCCCTTCCTAGAGCACTTCTTAGCCCAGTTCATGTCCCCCCAAAATGAGCAGCCAACAGGTTAGGCAAAGGATGTCTCATCCCTTCCTCTCTCCTGGCTACAGAGTGAGTCTAGTTAAATAGCCCAGAAGGAGACCTCTCTCCCTCTGGGCAGCTGAATCTCACTCCAGGCAACCAAAACCATGTGACTTTCTCTGCACATGAGTGCCAGGAAGGATGAGCTGCTCTGGACCTTTTTTCCTCTGCAGCTGGGCAGGGCTTGCTGCCAGGTCTGGCCTGCTTCCCAGGACCTGCTGGAAGTGCTCAGTAGTGAGGTCTTCTACAAGGACCTCGGTTGTTTGGGACTCTTTGGACCTCTCCTGGTCTCTTCCAGATACATCCTTCCTTGCTGCTTTCCATCTGTGTCCTAGAGACCTCCCCTGGTCACTGTGTCATCATCTGCTGTGGAGCTGGAGGAGCTGCTACCTGGGTGTCTCCTCTTACCACACCAAGATGTGAGTCCCATGGTTCTTCCCAGTCCCATTTGGGCAAGATGTCACCTTCCCCTCACCTCTAACCAAGGTCACATTGCTGCCACGAGCTGGAGAGTGGCAGTGGGGACACTTCCCAGCAAACCTGAAGCAATATCCCCAAGGAAACCCCTGGAGTTCCACCCAGAGGACTGGATGAGGACCTCAACCAGCTGCCCCTTGCCTGTCACTCACGTTGAGGATGCCCTGGAGCAGCACGCTGTCCCGGATCCTCCCCTCGTTCCTGGCCTTCACAGCCAGGTTGGAGAACCACACGCAGGGGATCCAGAACTTGTTGTGGGGGGAATTCAAGCTCTCGAACTTCTTGTGCTCTTCTGGTGTCATCAGGCCTGGGTGGAAAAGAGTAGGTGGGAGAGGGATGGCTGGAGAGGGCAGAAAGGTCTGGTCTGAAGTGAGAACATCTGAATCTCAGGTGGCCAACGGAGGTCTCCTTAAGGTTCTCAGGAAAGACTCAAGTCTTTCAAGACTAACCAAGTCTCCTTGTTAACACGCTGGGCTGCAGCAGTGTGAGTGGCAGCTTTGGATGCCTGCAGCCCATCCCACCAGATCCTGGTCAGCAGGGAGATACAGGACTGCTGAGGGTGCAGTTGCCTGGTGTCCACAGATGTTCATTGAGAACGGGACAACTTGTGTCCTCCAAGCCCCTGTCTCTCTCTCTGGGCTGCAAAGGAACCCCACTGCCTAGGGCAGGTGCAGACATGTTGCACCTCAAGGAGCATCCTCAGAGAGGATTTGGGGAGCCCAGCAGTTAAGGTTGGTGGTCTGAGGCTCCAGTTCCCAGCTGCCCAGCAGAAAACTGTTGCCCAGAGGGAGGACAAACACCCCCCTAGGTAGGGATCTGCTCCTGCTCTGCTATGGAGCTGTGGTGACCCCCACAGAGAGCTCAGCCAGGTCACTGCACCATCTGGCCAGGGCTGCCCCGTGACCTGCAGCAGGTCTGCATTCACCAACCTCCTCTCCACGCTCTCCTCACGGGGAAAAGTTTGAGCAGGGACCGTTTTAGGACAAGAGGCAACGGCCTCAAGTTGCCCCAGGGGAGGCTGAGGTTGGATATTAGGAAAAACTTCTTCCCCGGGAGGGTTGTCCAGGGCAGTGGTGGAGTCCCCACCCCTGGAGGGGTTTCCAAGCCGTGGAGATGTGGGGTGAGGGACACGGGGCAGTGGGGACCTGGCAGGGATGGGGCCACGGTTGGAACTCCACAACCTCAAAGACCTCTTCCAACCCAACCCCCCTCTCCAACCTCTCAACCAAGCCCAGCACCACCCCCCGTGATGCCTCCAGCAGAACCAGGGACCTCTTTTTGGAGCCTCTTCACCACAAAACCCCAGGGGTCGGGGCCGGGGGGAGGGACACGGGGCAGTGGGGACCTGGCAGGGATGGGGCCACGGTTGGAACTCCACAACCTCAAAGACCTCTTCCAACCCAACCCCCCTCTCCAACCTCTCAACCAAGCCCAGCACCACCCCCCGTGATGCCTCCAGCAGAACCAGGGACCTCTTTTTGGAGCCTCTTCACCACAAAACCCCAGGGGTCGGGGCCGGGGGGCGGCGGAGGGAAGCGCTTGTAGACGGCGGTGCTGACGGAGCGGAGGATGAGGAGGCTGCAGAGGTTGCTGTAGCGCATCAGCGTGCGCCGCAGGAGCCGCCCGTACTCGTCCTGCCCGGCCACGTTGCAGGACACCAAGTTCATGATGCGGTCTGGCCACGGGATGCTCTCATACTGAGCCCACCAACGGGACACCACCAAGGCCACGTAGAAGCCTAGGAGGTGAGGAAAGGAGATGGGGTGGGTTGGAGGTGGTTGGAGGTGGGTGGAGGTGGGTAGGAGGTGGGTCAGAGGTGGGTCAGAGGTGGGTCGGAGGTGGTTGGAGGTGGTTGGAGGTGGTTGGAGATGAAGAGTTGGGTGGTTAATGGGTGGAGTTGAGGTGATAAAGGGGATTGATGGGTCCTAGAGGATCATGGGAGGTCATGTGACTTCATAGGAGGGCATTGTGGGGAAGCAAGATGGCGTCCGAGAAGATTGGAAGTGGTTGGGAGAGGTTGGGAGGGGGGTGGGGGAGGGTGGGGGGGGTGCGTGCGCCGCAGGAGCCGCCCGTACTCGTCCTGCCCGGCCACGTTGCAGGACACCAAGTTCATGATGCGGTCTGGCCACGGGATGCTCTCATACTGAGCCCACCAACGGGACACCACCAAGGCCACGTAGAAGCCTAGGAGGTGAGGAAAGCATTGGGGGTGGGTTGGAGGTGGTTGGAGGTGGGTTGGAGGTGGTTGGAGGTGGGTTGGAGATGAGTTGGAGATGAGGCCTCCATGAAGGTGGGGGAAGGTTTATTCAAAAGGGTTTGTCATGGTAGGACAAGGAGTGGTGGTTTTAAACTAGGGAAGGAGAGATTTAGACTGGATATTCTTTAATATAAGAGTGATAGACCACTGGAATGGGCTGCCCAGAGAGGTGGTGAGGGCCCCATCCTTGGAATCATTCAAGATCAGGCTTGATAGGGCTGTGGGTGACCTGACCTAGGTAGAGATGTCCCTACTTTTGTAGGGAGGTTGGACCAGATGACTTCTAGAGGTCCCTTCCAGCCTAAAACAGTCTATGAAGGACAATTCAGATCTCCATGCTAAAGTCTGGGTTTTGGGGTTCATCTGGTGCCTGCCCTTCTGGCAGAAGCTAGAACACAGCAGCACATCTGGGCAGTGCCAGCACATCTGTGTGCTGGGGACCACCTCACAGCTGCCCCGTGGAACGATGGACCTGCTGGAGGGGCTTCAGCCAGGCAGAGGTGGGGTTCTGCTGGCAGATCCTGCCTGGGGGCAGGGCTGCAGCAGAGCAGGCAGAAGTAACGGGGTGCCTGTCCCCTCCCCGCATGCCCCCAGCTCCTTACCCAGCACGAAGGACACGGGGATGAGCTCGGCGTAGCTGTTGCAGTAGAGAGCCAGCTTCTCAAACATCAGCCTCTGGCTCTCGCTCAGGACCAGCCTGGAAGGGAGAGACAGGAGCATCAGCCTCTGAGAGGAATCCACTCCTTGTTGGGCCTCTGGGGACAGGAGCCTGGCAAGGGGTAGCCAAGGAGGGGTGGTCACATCCGTGACGTGAGTGAACCTCAGGAGCCTGGGACATCAGCCCACCTCCCAAAACCACCCTGCTGAGCAGCCCAAAGGAGCCAGAGGGGTCCCTGGCAGAGGGACCCCCTCGGTTGTTGTCCCTCTGGAGAGTCCCTGTGGTGCCAAGGCTCTGCCAGGCCAAGTTTCCCAGGCCAAGCTCTCAATTCCTGCCTCTTTATCTTGGAGCTGCTTCCACACCTCTGTGACCACAGCAGCCGTGGGGAGCTCCTCAGCCTCCCTCACCAAAGCCAGAGCAGCCACGGGTGCCTCATCACGGGCCTGTGGTCCCTGAGATCTGCCCTCAAAAAATGTTGAGTCACAAGGGACACCCCCCCTGGTGAGACATCTCCAGTTCTGGCTCAGCCTTGGTCTCCACTCATCTACACGCTTCTTCATGAGGTTATTAGGTGCAGTCAGCATGGCTTTGCCCAGGAGAAGTCATCTTTGACCAACCTGATGGCCTTTTATGAAGACATTACCAGGTGGATGGATGGTGGCCACGCAGTGGATGTGGTCTGTCTGGATTTGACACCATCTCCCACAGCATCCTCATAGGTCAACTGAGGAAGCGTGGTCTGGATGACTAATTAGTGAGGTGGGTTGCTAATTGGCTGAAGGGAAGAAGTCAGAGAGTTGTAGTCAATGGGGCAGGGTCTAGCTGGAGGCCTGTGTCTAGTGGGGTCCCTCAGGGGTCAGTGCTGGGGCTGGTGGTCTTCAACATGTTCATCAAGGACCTGGATGAGGGATCAGAGAGTGCTGTCAGCAAGTTTGCTGGTGACACCAAACTGGGAGGAGTGGCTGACACACCAGAAGGCTGTGCTGCCATTCAGAGGGACCTGGACAGGCTGGAGAGCTGGCTGGGGAGGAATCTCATGAAGTTCAACAAGGACAAGTGTAGAGTTTTGCACTTGGGAAAGAAGAACCCCATGGACCAGGACAGGTTGGGGACTGCCCTGCTGGAGAGGAGTGTAGGAAAAAGGGACCTGGGGGTTCTGGTGGACAGCAGGATGACCATGAGCCAGCAGGGTGGCCAAGAAGACCAGTGGCAATCTGGGGTGTATTAGAAGGGGAGTAGCAAGTACGGCACCCCTGCCCCTCTACTCTGCCCTGGTGAGGCCACATCTGGAATATTGTGTCCAGTTCTGGGCCCCTCAGCTCAAGAGAGACAGGGAAGTGCTGGAGAGAGTCCACCAGGGAGCCACCAAGATGCTGAAGGGAGTGGAGCATCTCCCTTAGGAGGAAAGGCTGAAGGAGCTGGGGCTCTTTGGCTTGGAGAAGAGGAGGCTGAGGGGTGACCTCAAGGGAGGGTGCCAGGAGGATGGAGCCAGGCTCTTTCCAGTGACATCCACTCACAGGATGAAGGGCAACGGGTACAAGTTGGAACACAGGAGGCTCCATAAAAATATTAGAAAAAGCTTTTTCAGGGGGAGGGTTCCAGAGCCCTGGAGCAGCTGCCCAGGGGGGTTGTGGGGTCTCCTTCTCTGGAGACATTCCAACCCCTCCTGGATGCCTTCCTGTGTGATCTATTGTAGGGGACCCTGCTCTGGCAGGGGGGCTGCACTAGATGATCTTTGAGGTCCCTTCCAACCCCGAACATTCTGTGATTCTTTTGGAGGTACCCATCCAACACAACTCTTCATCCCGAGGAAGAGGAGCAGCTGCTGCTTCCCAGGACAGAAGGAGGAGACCTGTCAGCTGCTGAGCCACGTTGGAGCAGTGAGGAAGGACCATCCCTTTCCTCCTGTGGTTGGGAAGTGCCTGGCCAGCTCCTCTTCACCAGGATGACCATCCCAATGCCGTGTTCCTCCAGGACGAGCTGTGTTGGTGGTGGGGTGGAAGGGTGCTTACCTGTAGACAAGGCTGATGGTGAAGTAGAGAGAGATGAAAATGAGGAACTCGGAGTAGAGCAGCTTGTAGATGCTTCCTTTCCACTGGAGCAGGAGCTGGGAGAAGGTGCCCAGGCGGGCGTCGGCCACACGGTTGGTGTATGTCACTGTCATCACGGGTCCTGCTGGAGACACAAAGGTGTTGGAGCTGCCACCCAGCCTGCACAGAGAGGAGAGAGGGACCCCACAAGCATCCCAGCAAGCAAACACAGCAGAAGGAAGGAAGGAAGGGAGAAATGACAATGACCTGAGATCAAGAGACAGATAGGATGAAGTCAGTGCCACCAAAAACCAGGAGGAACTTCATGGTAGGCAGCTCACGTGAGGAGCTTCCCACCCTTGGCCCATCTTTGAGCTGCACGTGAGCTGGTCACACTGATGGAGAAGGTACTTTCTGGTGGAGCCCTTGGCTTGGCAGTGTTCAAGTGGCTGGTTGTCCCATTCAAGGGCTGGTTGGAGTGGGCAGAGGACAAAGCAGGGGTTCAAGGTTAATTTGCAGGGTCTCAGGCTCCCAAGCTGCTTACTGCATTTACTTTTTCTTGCAGTATTTGCTTCAGATGGGTTGTTTCTGTAAATTTACTTCTCAGGAAGTGTCTTCCTGGAATACTGCTGGCAAAAAAACTCAACAACAACAACAAAAAATATAAAGAAAGCAAAAATAAACTCCTCAAGGAGAGATTTCTTGGTACTGCTCCAGATGTAAGCACCCTTGGAGATGTGACAAGGTTCTGTAGAACTTACCCAACAAGTGTAGCTGTCTTTTAAATTTGGGCTGAGGGCCATATCTGGGCTCTGCTGGTCCCAGTGCCACGGGCAGAACAACCCTCCCTGGCAGGAGAACTGAGGGCTGGAGCTCGGCCAGGCTCACAGAGCACAAATTCCAGGCACTCCACCTCCCCTCTCCCTCCACCCATACGTTGCACAATAAATCAGACTGGCTGAAAAAAGCCATTCAGGCTCAGGAAGTGCTTCCCAGCCCTCTTGCACTCCTAGTTTAACCCTGGATAAATAATTCTTTATCCTCAATTAATAATCAGATTCATAGTCCTCTAAACCTACATTTGTAGAAGAAAAAAAAACCCTGAAAAACAGAGCAGTGTCATCCTTGCTAGGCAGAGAGATGAGCAAGGTTCATCTTGGTTCATCAAGACTTCTCTGATGGGAAAATTGGTGGTATTTGGAAATCAAAACCTGTTGCCAGGAGGTTCCACAGACATTGGTACCCAACAGAGGCTCTAAGATGAATAATTCTGGGGCTTTGGGCTCTTCCCTGGACGACAGAGGCAAAGAAGCTCTTTGAGGGACAATTCAAACCTTCCTGCTCTGTAGCAGCAGGTGGATTGGTGTCCATGCTCCTCATCTGACCCCTTCAAGCTTAGGTGGGGCCAGCTCAGGTCGAAGAAGTGAAGAAAACCAGCAAAGTGTCTTTTGTTGGCTGCTTCAACCAAACAGCAGCTTTCTCCTGGCTTGGGCTTCTCGGTGCTGCTCCTCCTTTGGATTTCCCTGGCTCCTGGAGTCCCACGGGAGGAGCAGAGCTGGGACCTGCCCCACCAAGGGCTCCCCAGCTGCACAAATGCACCAGAGCTGCATTGGACCTTCATGCCAGTGGATTTTGGGGCATCTTTCAGGAGGATTTAGAAGAATGAGGTTTAACTGCCCTAGAGACTGCCCGGATGAGACACGTTTCCAACCCCCCATCGAGGTGTTGGGGCTCCTTGCAGGAACCTCCAAAGCTGGTTTCTCTACAGTTGGGTCCTGCAAGTGCTGGGTTGGAGACTCTTCCTTGCGTAATTCGGAGATTCGCTTTTTACCAAACATGGAAAACTTCAGCTCTGGGCCGTGTCAATGATGGATGTCACCTACCTCCGTGCACTGCTGCTCCCACACGGGCTGGGGGGCTTCTCCCAGGGCTTCATCCTCCAGCCCTGAGGGGTTAAGGCATTTCTCTGTCCTCCTGCCACCTTTTGAAGGGACAACCCCAGGATGTCCCTGGGCAGCCGGCACGCTGCGATCCATCCGGACTAACCAGTGCTCCTGAAGGTCCACTGACCAACCAGACCATGGGGATCCACAACGACCAAGATCCCTCAACACCACGGCTGCCTTGAGGTCCATCCCCCACCCCGTGAGACGCCCGAGACACGAGGAGCAGCTGTTCAAGAGGGAGAGCGAGCAGGTAGAGAGCGGAGAGATGGAGCAGCAGCAGGAGGAGGTCACCCAGAGGACCTTTGAAAGAATCTTATCTCCTCTTGGGAGGTCTAGATACTTACAGTGCTGGGCTCCCGAGCTGTGCTGGAGGCTGGGGAGGTTCAGTCCCACCCGTGTCCTCGCCGGGTCCTTTGTGGCCAACGCCACGGCCCCCCTCAGCTCATGGAGGGGGGGGGATGGAACCTGCCAGACCCTGCGTGCTAAGGAGCCTGAAACCCACTTTGGGAGCTGCAGCCGGTCACTTGATGCTGTAATCCTCCCTCCCACAAAAGAACCTCTGTTGTCTTTTGCCCCGTTCCCTCCTAATCTCCCCAGTAAGCCCGCGGTGTTTACAGAGGCGGCCGGAGGAGGGGGAGCCAGGGCTGGCTGCTCCCAACTCCTGGCACAGCCACCCAGAGAGGCATTTTGCTCCTAATTCTTTCCTGTTCGGTCCCTTGCTCTTTGTGGTGCTCTCCCAGGAGCCGCAGGGGATTAAGGAGGGCTGGAAGGATGGCATTTCCCCCCGAGGTTATAAAGCCTGGCACCCCTGGGGGCTGAGCAGCGCTCTCCTCCCTTGGGGAGCTCCTTGGGTGGGTGGAGGACCTGGCCCCTGCTCTGCCTGGCTCTCTGGGGTGTTCCTTTCTAGTTCCTTGCTGTCTCTGCTGGAGTTTTCCATCTCTTCCAGCCATGGTTTGGGTGCTGGGCACTTCCACTCTGCCACTGGCTCCCGAGACTCGTTCCATCTGTTCACCTCCCCTTCTGCTGCCTCCTCCAGCAGCACTTGGGGCTGTCTCTGCTCTTCCTCCAACGCCACCCTGGGGGAACACAGCTCCTGGGCTTTGTCCTCAAGCCTCCACCACGCCAGAGAACTCCTTGCCTCGGTTTCCCCAGGGTCCCTTTTCTGCTCTCAAGCTGTCCCTCCCAATGGTGACCATCCTTCTCTTCCACCACCTCCTGTCAAGCTGTTAAGCCTTCCAAGAGCCAGCTCCCCAAGACCCCTTCTTGCCAAATTAGCCTTGCACCCTTCACTGTCAGCAGGCTCCTGAGCAGCCACCCTCTGCCTAGAAGCACAGGACTTTGGACAGCCCCAGCTCTTCAGGAGGAGCTCCCTGGCTTTCCACCCCCTTCCCTTCCCTTTGGGAAGCTGTCTGTGTTGTCCAAGCTGAGCATCTGCCTCTTACCCACCAAGATTTCCCTCAGTCAGCTTGTGCTGACAACATTTGGTGTCCTGGAAACAAGAAGCTGCTCTGAGCCTTGAGGCACCAGCTTCTTCAGCATGCTCTGGACCTCCTGGCCTCCATCATTTGGCCAGCTGAGGGTCACCATGGAGGGGGAACAGGGCTCTGAGCCCTGCAGCGAGGAGCAGCTGGAGCCCCAGGGTCCTTGCTGAGGCTCTGTGGGGTTCCTCTTGTGTTTGAGGCTCTGTGGGGTTCTCCTTGTGGCTCTTTCCAAGCAAGGAGGCAAAGTCTCCAGTGAAGTTCAATGAAGATCTAGTTCTTGCAATAACCAACTTGCTCTTGTGCTGGTCTGTGTGCTTGTGTGTTTAGCCTCAGCAGCAGGGTTTAATGTCTCCAAGCTGGAGGTTTCTCCTCCAGGAGCTGGAGGAGCTCCTGGTGCAGCCCTAGGAATTGTTGCCAGTGGTGAGGAGATGACAATTTAAACCTTTGGACTTGGTGTCAGCAGCTGGGGGTTTAATTCTGGGGTGTGCTGGATTATCTCTGGTCCTGAGTGCTTTTTGTCAGAAGTGGTGGGAACAATCTTCACCACTTCTACCTGGAGCCCAAGCCATGGAGATCTGCGTGGGAGCTGCTCTGTACTGGATCACACGATAGGCAGGAGGATGTAGCCACACATCTGGTGGGAATGAGTTACAACATCTGGCCAGGTCATTGGGAGACAACATCTGGCCATGTTAGGAGAATTGCAAGGGGAAGGGATGGACCTGGAGCTCTCAGCCTTACCATGGACCTCTCAGACCTTCCTGCAGGGACACTCTGGGCATGCTGGAGCCCTCCTGCCAGCCGTGGCTTGCTCTGGGTGGGTGGCAGGGCAAGGAGAGAGAAAAGGCAGCAGGAGGGTTCTGCAGTGTGAGCTCCAGCCCTGGCAGAAGCACCAGCCTCACCTTCGAGGTGTGGAAGTCAAGAAGGGCCCTTAGCAGCAGCCATGGGCTAGTGAGGGCCAGGTAGCTGGGAGAGCACAGGGATGGACCCTCTCTGAAGACAAGGTGGTCCACACGAGTCCCCTGCTCCACAGTTTGGTCCTCCCTGTTTGGGGAGGTATCTGGAGAGAAGGAATTCGTGGCCGAGGCAGGCTGAGATACCTCTTGAGGGGCTCTGTGCCCGAGCCCTCAACCCCAGACATGGCAGGAGGGCAAAAATGGTCCGGGTGAGATGTTTGCTGGAGCTGTTGGGAGCAGTTTGGCTGCTCCTGGAGACTCTGAACTGGAGAAACAGCAAAACCTGGTGTCTGGGTCTGAGTGGAGGGATGTGCTGGCATCTGGGGGACTCTGCTGCCCTCCTCTGAGAGCAGCCGGCGTGGTTCAGAGCTGCTGGCAGGACAGAGAGAAATATTTGTGGAATTTAATATGAAAATAAATAACTCAGGGGCTACCAGCACTGCTTGGATCTCTCCTCACGTTCCCCTCCTCGAGGAAAAGGTTGGTCTGGAAGCCTTGTGCAGAAGCAGAGGAGGCAGCAAGGAGGAGCTGTGCAGGATTTACTCCGAGGTTTGAGCTGGCTGTGAACATCTGATGAAGTTCTGGTGACCCTCAGTGCTCCTGGGAGGACCCCCAGACTTCTTCCCCTTACGTTGCAGGCTCCATCACTGGTTCTGCACCATCCTGGGGGCCCCTGAGAGCTGCCTGACGAGCTCCATGTGGAATTTCTGTCCTGGGGGATTGTTCTGACCCAGGGAGGGGGTAACTAGGG